TACAGATATAGCATTTATTTTCAACACATTTCGAAACAATAGTTTTAATAACTAAGTTATAATATTTTTTCTTTTCTTTGCCAATATGGCAAAGTCTTAATAAGGTTAAGTTCGGGTAATTAGGCAGGCCATTCTATAGCAGTGGTTTGTTCTGGAGACAATCCAAAACAAATATTGCTTAAGGGGGCTAATAATATTGACCTTAAAATGGGTTTTAAAAAAATGCTTTTATTCTGGCCAAAATAAAACAAATAAGACTTTTTGCAGAAGAAAAAATATTATAGGAAATCATGTTGAAAATTCCCTGCTTTGTTTAACATCCTTAGTGAAAAAATCACAGGAAGGATAATACTTTTGTCTTCAACTGTATCAGCGTATGTTACACCCTGACGCTTTATTTGCTGATGATCGTACTGTTTCTGTCTAGGGTGGTTGAGTTAACTGGTGACAATACTCCGGACATGCGAGCCATAGCACAGGCTGACCTGATCGTCACGACACCAGAGAAGTGGGATGGAGTGAGCCGCAGCTGGCAGAACCGCAGCTATGTGCAGAAAGTGGCCATTCTCATCATTGACGAGATCCATCTTCTGGGTAAAGCGTCTGACAAAACACCACTAAAACTGCCTTCCCACTGCACAAACGACAAGCCACAGACTGGAAGTCGCTAGCTGTTTGTTTTTAAATGTCTGACAGTTTTTAAATGTTATTTCTGTTATTTTTAAGTTTAATATTGGTTTCATTTTACCTTTATTATACAAATTTGACAATTTTTTGATTTGCTGGTAATAAAAAAATAGTATTGATAGTTTTTAAATGTCCTATCTGCCATTTTTAAGTTAAATATTGGTTCCATTTTACCTTTATGATGCAAATTCGATAATTTATTTTAATGTATTGCTAATAAAAAAAATTGTATTGATACAGTTTTTAATGTCATCTACCATTTTCAAGTCATATGTTGGTTACAATTTACCTTATATGTAAATTTGACCGTTTTTTATTGTATTACTAATAAAATAAATAGTGTTGATACAGTTTTTAATGCCATATCTGCTGTTTTTAATTAAATGTTGCTTGCATTTGACCTTTATGATGCAAATTTGACCATTTTTGATGTAAAAGTTTTGTTTTTTACAGTTTTTAATTGTAATATCTGTCTTTTGTAGGTCTAATAATGGTCCCATTTTACCTTTAAAATTTAAAATTTGACTATTTTCGGTGAAATAAATAGTATTGATGGTTTTTAAATGTCATATCTGCCATTTTTAAGTCTAATATTGATTTGATTTTAAATATATTGCTAATAAAAGAAATAATGTTGATGCAGTTTTTAAATGTAATATCTGCCTTTTTTAAATCAAATATTGGGGCAAAATTTTTGCCATTTTTGATGTATTGTCAATAAAATAAATAGCACTGATAGCTTTTAAATGTCATATCTGGCCTTTTTAAGTCTAATATTGATTCCATTTTACCTTTGTGATGCAAATTTGACCATTTTTGATGTATTGCTGTCAAAGAAATGGTATTGCTACAGTATTTACTTTTTGTTTGGCTTCACAGGTGAAGACCGAGGGCCGGTTCTTGAAGTCATTGTGTCCAGAACCAACTTTATTTCATCGCACACCTCAAAAACGGTCAGAGTAGTAGGACTGTCCACCGCGCTGGCTAATGCACGAGATCTAGCCGACTGGCTGGGCATCGGACAGGTTAGAAAGACCACTGCGATATACAACCTGCAATATTTTACAATTGAACATGTTTTTGATCAAACAAATGTTTTTCTTTATATATATATATATATATATATATATATATATATATATATATATATATATATATATATATATATATATATATATATATATATATATATATATATATATATATATATATATATATATATAT